TTTTGCAGAGTAAGTCATTTTAAAAGGAATGGAGGATTGAAAGGCATGATTTATTCATTGTGAACTTACATTGCATGCTGGTTTTTTTTATAAGTGCTTCAGATGATTGTGTTAATAATTCATTTTAAAAATTCATACAGATGCTCATTGACTGATGATAGGGTTATATCCCAATAAGCCCACTGTAATTTTAAAATAAAATAAGTCAATCATTTACTATGCCTAAACTATTAGACATCATAAGTTAGAAGCACAGTTCACTATGGTATTTCACTGTTTCCCCAAATCACCAGCACTGGTGTGGCAATCCCATAACCAGGCTTTTTTCACTTGCTGTGTTCCCCCCACACCCATCCCAAAGGATTGGACTGAAATGGGGTAAGATAAAAATGCTGACACATCCCAACTGGAGAGAAGGTAGAAGTGAAGAGGATTTCAAACTTTATGTCTGCAGGGAGAGCAGGGTCTTTCCTAGGAATGTAAAGGAAGTGATCAGTGACCCTACACCCCCCCAGTAAGCACACACAGAAAGGACATAGATTTGAAGAATGATGCTTGAGTTAGATTTTTTTTAAGTGTAATGTAACAACAGTAAAGAGAAAACACTGAAGCCAACCATAAAATTATCTTCTCTGGTAGTTTTTAAAAGGTTGAAGGTAGGGTCTGGAGGGATATCTGTTTGCATCTCTTTTGCTCTGAGTCTTATTGGTAAAAAAGGGAGAAGTATTTTAGATTCATTCAACAATAGTTATTGAGAGCCTCCAATATGCAAGATGCTGTTTTAAGTGACAGATTTGTAGAAGTGAACAAACCAGGCAAAAAGAGACAGTAAACAAATAATGTATTGTGCCAGATAGTGTCTGTTTACTGTGGAGAAAAACAAAAGAGGAAAGGGAGGCAGGGAGCAAAGGAGTAAGGGTAAAATGTGTGTTTTAAAAATAGGCTTGGCACAGAGCCCCAGTTAGATCACAAATTAGAGATGTGCCATTGCTATAACAGAATGCCACAAACTGGGCAATTTAGAAACTTAGCTCATAGTTCTGGAGGCTGGGGAGTCCAAGGGCATGACTCCAGCCTCTGGTAAGGGCCTTCGTGCTCCATCATAACTCACAGAAGGGCAAGTGAGCACTCACCTTTTTATCAGGAGCCCCCCCACCTCAGTGACAGCATTGATCCATTCATAAGGGCAGAATCCTAATCCTCTCAGAAATATCTCACCTCTTAATCCCATCACAATGGCTACTAACTTTCAACATGTTTTGGAAAGGACTTTCAAACCATAGCAAGATAGATTAGCAGACAGCTGGGGGCAGAGACAGAGGGGCCAGCCAGTGCAAAGGCCTAGAGGCAGAGTGTACTGGAAATGTTCCAGCAGCAGCAAAGGACGAGGGTCGCTGGAGCAGTGAAGGAAAAGCAAATCATAGGAAATGACGTCAAAGAGGATGATTAAAGGCTCAGATACGTCGCTCTTTAATTTTATGGTTCAATTCTGCATGTGTGGAACATTTTTATACCCTAGAAACTAAACCATGCCCCAGGGGAGATGTTTTTGTTAAAAACAAAACAAAACAAAAAAAACCTAAAAGTGACTACAGAAAATTTTCAGCAATCAAGTTTCTCAGTGTTGATAGCCAGTCTCTTTCTGGCAGAAATATGAAATTTTCAAGTCATAGATCACCTAACAGCTGCCTATAAATGATCAAGAGCCATGGTCTTATATGCTAAAACCCAGCATAAAACATTGAATGAAAAATACTAGCATAACAGCAAACATAATGGAAAAATTTAAAACCAAACTAAAAAGAAGTTATACAGCAGATTAACACAAAATCCAGAACTTCCTGTGTACCTCACACCCAGGAAGAGATGTCTCAGGGACATTTGTTTACCTTGGATTTTTCAAGGTAACTTGCAGTTTTGAGGAAACAGTTCTTTGGCAAAGGCACATCAGTACCTACAGTCAGCTCAGAAAGGCCTGGGTTTCTTGCTCCTTGGCTTTTTTCTCCTGTCTTCCCACCCCCACCCCGTGCAGAACACTGGAGCATCTCAGAGAAAAGCACTGCAGTTCATCAAGATCAAGGCAGGCATTATATTTCAAGTTGAAGTTCAAAACAGCTTGCTTTTTGCTGGGGCTGCTTACTTCCTGAAATCAGACGGCGCCCTTTAGTACTTCAGTGTGCTGAGTCACAAGCCAGCCAGCTACACACTTGCTCTTTCATTTAACACCACCAGGCTCACAACCAGTCTTCCTCCATGGCAAAGTGAACATAAGGACCATGTCGAAAGCACCTTCTGGAGAGATTCCTATGAATGAAGCATCAAGACAGAACAAAAAGGATGCTTCTCCTGGCTTTATTGTACCTTGAGAAAATTTAACAACCCAGAAGAAAAAAATTTTTAAAAAGCTCTCCCCATAATCTTTACATAACAACCTATAGTTGCCTAGTTACTGTGTTGTTTATTTGAGGCCATTAAGCAAATTCAGATGACATGCATGACAAAAATTTCAAAAAGATTCTAGCCTCCTAAGGGCCAGTCAGGTCAGAACCCTAGAAGCCTAGAAATGACTGCTACCTACTGGCCCAGTCTTGCCTGTAGACAGATTTTGGTGAATTAGTTACCAACCAATAAAAATGGGATAATTCCACATAAATATCCAAAACTGAAATATTCTTTAAGAAACTTGAAAGATCTGGCAACAATGGACCAAAATTCCTGTTCAGGAACAAGACCTTTACACAGAATGGCTGCCCAACACCCACTGCATTCTTCTCTTTAGTACCTGTCCCTGTCAACACGCACCTAGGACCTCCCCTACACACCAAGCCCAACCACTTCATTTGGCAGGTGGTGAAAGTGGCTGCCGGAGAATTTTAATAACTTATCCAAGGTCACCCAATTAGATAAAGGCAGGGCTGGAGCCAAAAATTCCAAGATGCCCCATTCCCTGGATCTCCGGTTGTGGAAGAAATTGAGCACATTGAAGCAGTGTCTCTGATGATGTTGGCTCTAAAGTTATTTTAATTATAAATCGTCACTGGGAACTAATGAAAGCAGCAAAGCTGTGTTTGGGATAGAGCAGAAGAGCTGGGGAAAGTGGAGCTAGGGAATGGAATGTTTCCCGAGGGACCTTAAATGTAAGTAATCTATATTTAAAATAGTATGACTTTAGTGATTAACACCGTAGGGCAACAAAAAGCTGAATAAAAAATCGATCCTAGTTTAGCTATATGGAATAAATTAGAAATGATATTTCTTGGATTTTTCTATTAAAAGACTCATTTATCCCAGAATTCTGTTCCATTTCATTAGTTTGTGGAAACATTTAAAATAAGTGATTATTATTAAGGCCTTTAGGAATCTTTATGACCAATGATACTATTTTTCTTTTAGGCCAAGGTATAAGTTATCTATAAGTTTTGTTTACATAGCCAGATGAACTATAAGCAGGATAATACAAAGTACACAGGCACTAGTGGCCCTAATGTTTTTTTTTTTCTTATTACATCAGTTCAAAATAGGAGTGGAACTTTTCTTACATTCGCTTTTCTACATATTCCTAGCTCATATTGGTAATTCCATCCTGCTTCCTGGGAACCTGTAACTCTACCTGCATCATTCCCAGACACCTTCTACTTTGAAAGGGTTTTAAAGGAAGCCAAAACATTCTCTGTGTGTAATCTCAAAAATGACCCCCTTCTTCTCTTGCCTACCCAGATCATGACCTGGCCATCATCCATGTGACAAGTGGGCCATTTAACATGTTTTACAGTTCCCCAGTTCTTCCAGCAGAACCTGCAAACCACATCAGCACCATGCAAACCTGGGTACCAAGTAAGACTCTAAGCAGGAGACACAGTACTGCTCAGTGATGCTCTAGTGCCACTGGAAACTGCAGCCGCTAAAATTAAACTGACACTTGGCAGAAATTATCATAACACTTTCTATCACAGCCCTATGACAGAGAGTGTCTATGTGGCACAGGCAGAGCTGAGAATGGAGCTGTGTATCACGAGAGCAACTAACGCCTGAGGCCACCCAGTAAAAGTTTGAGTGGAATTTAGAAATTGGAACCAAAAAGCCAGCCTCCTAGACCTTCCCAGGAACCCAGAAGTTCTTGCTCAAGTTCAAAGTCCAAACTTCTCTTTGCCTCTGTCTCTGTTTTCTCATCAGAGAAGAAAGGAGGAGCTTTTTTGGTTGGGCAAAAACATGAAAGACTGTATTTTGTCATCTTCCAGAGTGGGTTTTCTCCCTGTCCTCCCTACCACCCTCAGGATCAAGGCAATCTTTGGAGCCAAGAGGCAAGGATTCTTAAGTGACAGGAGGACTACTTTTAGGGTAATGGGAAGGCACTTTTCCCCCTGGGGGCCACATTACTGCCTCTGTTCTGTCAACGTTTTGTTCTAACCTAAAGCATATGTTAACTTCCTCAGACACAGCTCAGGAGCCCTTCGAAACAGAGGGACATTCCTGGAGCCCTGCAGGTGCAGAATTACAACCTGCCATTGCTCATTATGCCTCAAATTCTCACAGGGTCTCAGATACAGGAACATTTGGGTTTTCTTGTTTTGCCATTTAAAAATAAAACAAATTAATGCAATTTTATATTTTATCAGCACAGAATAGGTATGCTCAGGAACTATCAGCCAAATGGTCAAGACAGTTTTGAAAGATTTTTCCCAACGTTCTTTCCCCACTCCTGCAACTTCCAGTCTGATGTAAGCCTTCCTAGTCCATAGCTGGCCAGTATGGAACCAGAGCATCGGACTTAACAGCAAAAGGGCTGTGTTCCCTTGTGGGAGGCGAGCCAAAGCTCTGCACTGTAACAGTCACCTTATTCAATATCACAAATTCACACAGTTTAGAATTCCAAGAATATAATGAAATTGGTAAATACATGAAGAGCAACCATTGGCAAAATGAAAACAATGTAAAATTTAGCTTTTCTTAGCCAACAGAGGAAAAGGCCAAGACATATGAGACATATGCAAACAGCAGAATACTTTTTCTTTCCTTTTTATTTAGTCACAACACATCAGTACAACAGAGGTCAGACCCTGTTCAGTGGAGGCTGTTGGAACTACACCTGCTAAAGGAATAAACCTGTAAAAGGATACTTTGATAGCCCAAATCAAATCAAATAAAGGAAGAAGGCAGAAAAGCCCTTTTTAATCTCAACAACCACATTTTCATGCACCTAAAGGAAAATACAACAAAGAAAATCCCAGTTAAAATACGCAGTTCTGGGGAAACTAGGTTATGCATTTAACAGGTTCCACTGCGCTATTCAATTGCCCACTCACTCACACGCCAGGATCACTCATCCAAGCTAACTTGTGAATTTGAGATCCGTGACATTAAAAGTCATTGCATGGCTTCAGATTGGTAGATATAGGCATCTTCTATGCAACTGTCTTCAGTCTCTTCCCTGCCAACACTCCAAACGGGACCTGGACAACTGGTGGCTCTCCTAAGAAGGGCAAGTCTTAGCAGACAACAGTAGTTGGTCATATGGGTTCAGGGCCACTGATAGCTTATACATTCACCTTACTGCTGTAGGAGGCAGAGCATTAACTAGTCTCTCTTGGGTAAAGCTGGTCATCTGATTTGTCAACGCTTTGTTTGGAAATATAAAATTCAATAGACTCCCCTCCACACATCCCCTCCCCCCCACAAAAAGAATAGTATTTATACAATGCTTTAATCTGTCAAAATATTACCAAATAGAATGTTAACATTGAGCATAGCGATTTCAAAAATTAATCCTAAAAACAGACCACAACTATACAAGAAAAACAGACCCAAAACACTAGCTGAAGATTCTCAAAACTTTGAGGCAAAAACGGAATCACTCTTAGACAGATAGACTTACAGATTAAATTAGGCACAGTATAAACTTATCACAAAGTGTTGGTTTATACTATCTCAATTTAATGTTTTAAACAAAAATTAACAACTAGGCTTTTTAAAAAAACTGCTAATACATGACATGATAAAAAATGTAAAAAGACAAAAGTAAACCAACGAACCTTTAGTCTTTTTAAAAAATGTATCTGAAAGTGTACCTTTTTCCTTTTTTATTTTTACTGACGACTTTAAGGTGATGTTGGCAACAGTCCAGCTCAGCTGGGATTTTAAGCTTTCCCCTCCCACATTCTAGGGTATCAGTTCTTTAAAAAGCGCCAATCTCTGTCCCCCAAGGTCTATAAGGCTTGCCAAGGTTCGCTGCCTGCGTGGGTGCCGAAGGGCTCAGTGCATTAGGAGAGAGTAAATGGAAAGAGCCCAAGGAGAAGGGGAAGGCGGACAGCGAGGCCACCGAGGAGAGCAGAGGCGGCGACAGTTTGGAGGCAGAGGTGACCACGGGGAGCACCGGTCCAAGGCCGCCGCTAGGGGGCGCTCGCAGTGCTGGCGCCTCCGGATGTGCCGCGGCCAACCTGCCTTGGTGGTGTGATTCCGTGGGCGACGCGGTGGTGCCAGCGTTCCCGTGGCCGTTCTGGGGCAGCAACAGCGGGTGCGCGAGGTGCGGGTGATGTCCGAAGGCGCTCCCCCAGGGAATGTGTCCAAGACCCGCGTGGGCGCCACTCGCGGCTTCCCGCTGCGAGGCGTAGTTGTTGAGATGCGAGACCAGCCGAACGCGCAGCGGGTCGGAGGCATCCAGTCCCTCGATGATGCTCAGGTAACGGGCAACTTCTGCCAAGCACTCCCGGAACCCCAAACTCCGATAGTCCATGGCGAGGGCATGCGCATCAAAATAGCCTGAGAAAAAGAACAAAAGGAAAAACCTCAGGGCTTTGCTCATTTTCCGCATCTCTTTCACCCCAAAGGCAGCCCTGCCTGGCAAGTACCTACATCGTTAAAACATGGCACTCACGGGTGCTTCCTGAAATCCAAATATTTTTGGAGCTGACCAAAATCTCTGCATTAATCAACATGATGTGTTTACTAATGCAAGTTCAAAGTCCAATTAGAAGCTGCTGAGCAGAAATTGGGAATTATACCCTACCCGCAGATGAAACTATGTTCATTCCTTTAATGTTTTCCCTCAACAACAACAAAAAATACATCAAGGACAGAGAAACCACAGAGCAGTGAAATTCATTAGACACACAGATGTAAGTTATCAACCTGGGGCTTTTAGGCACTTGGTCCTAAGTAAAGCATTTTCCGGCTGGCGACAGCCACACAGACCATGGTCTCCCGCCTTCTGTTAGGTTTTTCCCTACTTAACCATACAGGTTTCTTTCCTCCACAGTCACATGGCACGTTTTAAAATTCTGTTTATGAAATTAAGACCCTGTACTTAAAAAAAGAAGAAAAAAAAAACCTGTTTCCCAAGCTCTATCTCAAAAATGCCAGTGCACAAATGTGAAAGCTACCTGATTTGAATCAGGGCTGTCACAACTTTCGAGGATCTCACAGAAGATAGGCAGTTTCCAAAAGATGCATTAGCTCAATTTGCAGAAGGCGGGGGTGATGAATTCACTGGAGAAAACCCGATGTGCAGCTGAAGATGTACTGACAGGCAGCCACACACTGTTCTCTCCCCACCCCCAAAGAAAAAGCAAGCAGGGGCTGCACCAATCCTGGCCCGCGTCTGCTGCCCCTCCACTCAGAGGCCCCACCAGAACTAAGGAGGTACCTTTCCCCCCTGCGGTGTGCAGCATTTTCAGGTGATCCACCGTCATCTGCAAGATCTCGGCTTTTTCTAGTTTAGCAGATCCCTAAAGAAGAGAATGGCAAAAGACTGATGAAGCTCAACTGCCTTGGGGAAACGACTTAAAATACATGCACGTATAAACATATGCTCTGTAAATAAAAAAAAAAAATGTGGGTTTAAAACAGAATCAGTTCCCTTCAAAAAATCCGTTGGAATCTGTGCATGAGTTCATCATGACATAGCAACACGGCTATTTTCCAGGACACAAATAAGGTTCAGGAATATGGGGGGAAAGGATTCAGAGGATGTAGATAGCTACACCTAGCGCTCTACCTACTTTCTCCATTTACCTGTTTCTCAAAAGCGCTGGGTACCAGTCTCCTCAGCTCAGACAAACTGTTATTGATCCGGTCTCGTCGGCGCTTCTCAATGATCTGTGGGAAGGAGGCAAAACAAAGGCGGACCTTTCCATTACGGCTGTAAATTCCAAAGAAACGTGGAGGGGGGGTGTTTCCCATTAATTAATAACAATCCAAGAAAGGGGAGCAATGTAAAAAGACTCACGCCTCTCCGTCTTTTCCTGGCCAGGATCTGAGAAGATGTAGTTGGGGACATGGACCCTAGAGCCGAACTCAAGTTTCTGGGGAGGGAAAAAAAAAAAGAATCGCTGTTGGGAGAGGGGAGGTGATTATTTGAGAGGTGACCCCAAAGCCCTGCCCGTACTAAGATTATTTTGGCAACGTGGGCTTTAAAGTGCCTGCAGGGTCCCTCGCCACGGGTGGTGACTAGCCCGCCACTCGCGGAGGTCAGCGCAGAGCACCGCGCGCCAGAGCCCCCGTGCGCTGTCACCGCGGCCTCTCCGGCTCGGATCCGCCGCCGCCAACTCACCCATTCTCGTCCGCACTCTCCTTCTCCACCTCTATGGTCTCATCCAGCTCGCTATCCGAGGAGCTGTAGTCGGGGTGAGCTCGCTTCATGCTGGCTGCGCGGAGGCTCCGGGGCAGGGGCGGCGCGGCGGGCAGGGAGGAGTTAACAACCGCGGCGCCTCTGCGCGCTAGGCTGCTCGCGTTCCGCTCACACTGATCCCGCTCACGCTCTGCCTCCGGTTAAGACTCAACCATCCCTTTCCCACGCTGAGCCCCTTCCTAGGGCCCTGGGGAGGGCGGGGGAGTAGGGAAGGCGGGCAAGGGGGCGGAGAGGCGGGGGCCGCGGCTCCCAGGCAACAGCTTCCCTCCGGCCAATCCGGCTTCTCACTCCGCTGATTGGCAGCCTCTCAGGGGAGGGGCGGGGCAGAGGCTCAGGGCAAGGGCGGACCTCGCCTCCGCCCCCCGCGCCCGCCTTTGCCCCGCGGCGGTGCGTCGGCTCCGCAGGGGCTCCGTCGGGCCTCCGCCGGGCCTCCACTCGGGGGAAAAGGAGGAGGCGCAGGCGGCGGTGGGCAGGCGGCGGGGAGGCGCGGGAGGCAGGGCTGGGACACAGCCCGCCGGTGGCCGCAGCCCCGCCCCGTCCCGCGCGCCCCGATTGGCCTGGCCGCGCGCCAGGGCCGCGCCTGCAGCGCCGCCGGTGAGCCGCACGCGCCGCGGGCCGTGGGAAAGTGCCGGCGCCCCGGCCGCCAGCCAATCCGGGCGGCTGGAGACGGCGACGGCGGCCGCGCTGGCGGCGGCGGCGGCGGCGGCACTGGGCGTCCGCATGAATGGAGAAGAATGGCCAGGCGGGGGAGCGGGGCTGCGCGAGGGCGCGCCGGACGGCCGGGGCTGGGCGGCTGCGGGTTGGGCTCCCCGTGTGAACCTGTAATCGGAGCCTGGGCGCCGGCGGGCCCCGGAAGCCGCCACCAGAGCCACCGTAAATCTCGGCTGCGTGGCCGCCCGCGCCCGGCGGCGGGAGGCGCGCTCTGTTGGCGGGGCCCGGCTGGTGCACCTGGCCCAGCAGCTCCACGGGTCCTGCAGAGAACCGGGACAGGGGCCTCGTGTGCGTCTGGCGCGTTCGTGGTGGTCACCAGCCCAGCGGCTAGTCATATGGAGGGTCTGGATATGGGTTTAGGCGCTGTTCTTTTTCGGTTGCTGGCACTTTGTCCGCCCATGAAGCCAGATTTTTTTTTTTTTAACTCTACAGGGGCTTCCCAGTCTCTGGGATGGAATGAATTCCCCTGTGCATCTAATTTCCGGAGAAGTAGAGCGCTTGTTTTCTTGGATAACTTGGATGGCAGGGCGGGGGTGGGGGTGGGGAGGAGTAGTGGCGGTCCCTGGGGATATTCATTATGTTGGGTTTTTTTGTTTTTTTTGTTTTTTTTTTTCCAGGACTTGGCGGCCAGATCCTCTCAGCGGGCGACAGGGTGGCGGGCGGGAGTTTGTGTCTGAGGCTGACCTCACTGCAGGAACGCACGTTTTTGATCAGTAGACACACACATAAAACACACACACACACACACACACACACACACACACACTTTATAGTCTCTATTGGTGTGTACTGGATGCTACATGACATTCTACAAGTCCCCCAAGAAGACAGATTTTTTAAAAGATTTTAAAATACAGTTCCAAAAATCCAGTCCTGTTTCTCTTACAAAGCAATTTATATAGAGCAATTTTGTCTCAGGCCCATTACTTTGCAGCCCTGTGTGTTAGGCAAAATTTAATAAATGTTGAGGATAACAAAAGAAATGTTCTCACCTTTGCAAATAGTTTCTCAGTAGAGTTCATTAGTTACTGATCTTAAAGTCATCTTAACACACCTGAGAAGTACACACACTGTGTGGCCTGAATCTAATTCCTGTGTTCCTCTCTGCCCCACCTCTACACACATGTTGGATAAACTGCTCCCACTGAAGCTCTCATTCCACTTCACCTTCCCCTGCAGCCCTTCTCCTCCTGGCCTGCTCTGCTTCCCTGCATGGGCTGGGCCTCTCCATCTTGGGTTTGTTCTTGCTGGCATCCAGTCCATTTTGCTTCTTGATACTCCACCACAAGCTGCCTGACATTTGTCTGTCCAAGATCAATCCCACTGCCTGCTTTCTCTGCTTCTGTTCACAGCTGACAGAGCTTCCTGGGGGTTGACACCACCACAAAACCAGAGGTTCAGCTCCAAAGCTCCCTTCTACTCCCCCAATTTTCAGTCAGATACATCATACTCCCTGCCTCTTTCCTCCCAGAACCTAATGATCCAGGACTAGAAACTATCCAACCCACCCCTCTGTCTTCCAGAAGTCCCTCTGATACTCCGTTTCCTCCCCTAAAGTGACAAGCCACTCTGCCCTAGAATCAGTGTGTCCACTCCTGTGAGGCCCATTTCAGCTGCTATGTGGAGACAGAGACGCTGCAGCTTGGCAGGTGAGAGGAAAAGACAGGACGGTGTTGAGGATGCTTGGCTGCACATTGATTTAGGCACCAGTATTTATCCCTTGGGCATGTTTACTGTCAAAATGAGGTTATCCTGCTTCTTAACGTTGACTCTCATTCTTCATCCAACAAGTACTGGGTGCCCTCTATATGTCTGGCACTATGTTAGCACCTGAGAATGCAAAAGTGACCCAAAAGTTATAGCTCCCACCCTCCTAGAACTCACATCCTCTGGAGGAAGTCAGACAATACAGGAGTGAAATGGCTACAGATACCTGGAAGCTTGGAAGCACCTTCTGGTAAGGAGGAGTGAGGGGGTGAGGGCACTTTATGAGGTCTTGGAGAACTTTTCTAAGTTTGGGCAGGGACTCAAGACTCAGATGAGATGAAGAGGTGGTTCAGTAATCTCCAGGAAGGAAGGGGTGGCAGCTCTTGCCTTAAGTGGTGGCAGATTCTCCCTTGGGTGACAGAATCAGAGGACAGAGTTAGGCTGAGGGCATCAGGCTCAATTTCCCACTAGGCCTTTAACCCTGGAGGCTTTGGGCAAAGAACTACTTTAAACTTCTTTGAGATCCCCTAAATGCAAGACACATCCTGCACTTTGAGTGGGGCTGACCAGGCCTGGCCCTCAGGAAAGGGGCCTTTTTCCAACTGGAAGTGAAGGAGAAGGTGTCACTCTTGGACTTCATCTGTCCTTGGCTCTCAGGCCCATTCCTTGTCTGATCTGTGAGAGTGAGTAGAGTTAGTTCTTAACATGCTTACAGGCTACCTTTGCTGTGGTGGTTTGGCAGATGGGATCCTTCCCATGCCCTGGAAGAGACAGATGTTCTGGATTGAGGAATTCCCTCACTGGGCCAGGCTGGGTAGCAGCCTCCACAGATGTGAACCATTGGGACCTCCAGAGGGAAAGGGTTTAACCTCAGGCCGAAGCTCCAGCATTTCTATGTCCCTCAGGAAGCCAACTTGCTGGAAGGGACACAGAATAGCCAGGATAGAGGCTGCCCAGAAGGAAGCCCCAGTCCTCATTCTGTATTCATCAGAGCTCACCACTGCAGAAGTCCTCTCCTCACCTTGGTGCTCTCCATGAGACACTTGCTCTGTCCTTGTGTGGTAGTGAGCACAAGTGATCTTGACCGAATGGACACTGGAACTGTGCAACGGGAGCAGAGGCAAAAGAAAGTACTACCTTGCTCTGGGCTTTCAGTCAGGTCACTGTATCCATTCTGAGAGGGGAGAAAGTGAAACCAGTCAGTATTTGATACCTTTAGGGTTTACCACTACATATTTGCTCAACAAACTTAAAGAACACCCATAATAAGTGCTGGCCACTAAGCCAGGCCTAGAACAATGAGGTGGAAAGCCACAATCAAGATCCTCTCAAGAACTCAATCTCTCTCTCTCTCTCTCTCTCTCTCTCTCTCCCCACACACACACACACTTCCCTCACTTTCTCCTTCCCTCCCTGCCTCTCTCCCCTCCTCTCCTCTCTCTCTTTCCCTCCCTCCCTCCTTTGCAGTTCTGCTTATTCTATCAAAATCTACAGAGCACTTCAACCTCAAAAATAGACAATGGGTCTCATCACCTCAGTATATTGCTAAGCTCAAGAATACATTGTATATTGGTAAAATATCTTGTGATATTTTCGTGGAAACTTACACATATTCTACTTTCTAGCAAAAACCTCTCACTAATATTAATTTGAAAATCTACAAAGATGTTTTGATACTTCAAAATAAAAGTACATCCTCACAAGAACTTCTAACTACATAATGGTGGGCAAGCCTCAATTATTTTATCTGTAAAATGGGGGTATTAATAATAGCTGTTTTCCAATGTCACAAGTTAAATAAGATCAATAATATAAAGCACATTAGAGTGTGTGACCATTAGCACGCACTCAATAAACAGCAACTGTTATTATTAGGTATTAATGTACCTATTCTATTGATGAACTCTGAGCACTAGGTTACCCCAAAGTTTTCTTCTGGTATTCCATTGCACATCTGATGAGGTTGAAAGATGGGGTAATTATCTAGCAATTGGATATATTAAAACAGCATCTCTGGTAAATAATCACTTTTTAATATTGAGACGGAATCAGTGCTTCTTATTAAGAGCACTGGATTATGTTGAGTAAAATGACCATCTGCTGTTCATTACTAGTGAAAGTGGGGCTTTCTGAGTTTCTTGTTAAGAAACTCCCCCTGAGCACACACAGCTATAAATACATCCTCAGGGTGCTGAGGATGGCTCCTGGATGAACACATAGCAAATCAGAAACCACAAGGCAGAGTAGCCCCAAACTATCATTCCAAATCTTGACTAAGCACCCATTTCCTCTGGTCTTGTCTGCTGCTCTCTCTAGAAGCCCTGTCCCAAACACCACATGGCCTTGTGGCATGTCATGCCACGCAAAATGCACTTCCACTATCGACTGTCCTAATTGAGGGCAGATGTGAGATGCCCTGGTGTTTGTTTTGAGGGATGTTTAATTAGAAACACGACAGTGGTAGTGGAAAAGGAGAGGGTTGCAAGTCGCCTGCCTGGCTCTGAGTCATCCTTTATGAGCTGTGTAACTGGGAGGCGTTCCCACACCTCACTCCTCTGAGCCTCACTCTTCTCATCTGTACAATAAGAAGGATATCTCAGCATTTGTTTGGATCTAAGAAAGATAAAAAGAGATCATTTTGTAAAGTACTGTATGCTTGTAAGTTATGAATATGGCTACTTCCTCAGTGAATTCGTTCAGGACAAGCCACTCTATCTTCAAAAAAGAAGGAAGAGGAGAAAGAGGAGGAGGGAGGGAGGGAGGGAAGAAAGATATTCTAAATGCCAAAGTCCAT